AAAGAACATTTCAAGATAGTTTTCTAATGTGAGTTATCAAGTGGAACTGTTGAAATTCACCTCATCCCCATGGACCCCGTAGCGTTGACTCTCAAGGTAGAGCAAAAGGTAGCGCTTACCGGACTAGCAGGGTTAGCTAGGTAGTTAGTACTATTAGAGCTGATCCTGTAAAATACAGGTTATCAGCCGTAGGCTAGCTAGATTAGAGCTATGGACCCAATGGATGACGACGTCCCACCGAATGCCTACGGAAGTGGCTTTGACATAGTTCCGAGTGTGCCCAATAGTTTGGATGCAGTTCAACGGCATGAACAGGCAGTTGCACAAGTGGCTGCAATGGATCCAAGGGTTGCTTCGGAGGTGTACCAAGAGATGCTAAATAGTGGTGGTAGTGTTACTCTTCAAGAGGCGGCACAAGCTACCCTAGCAGGTATGCCGTCAGCCACCGTAGCTGGTGCGCCAACAGTAAACAACTTGTTGGCAATGACTCGGCTCAACGTCGTCAACCTGAACGCATCGCCAAACGACGAAGAACTACGACGGGAGTTACAACAACATGAGTTTTTGCTCAGCGAACAAGCCAGGAGGGAAGCTGAAATCGAGGCATTGCGCTTCAGGAGTATTTACGAAAGAGAAGCTTCCGAATCTATAGCTGCAACAAAGGCTGCCGCAGAGCAGGCAATGTTGAATGTTCAACAAAGGGCCCAACAGCAGGAACAAAGTGTTCAGCAAATGGTCCAACAGCAAGACAATGTTGCAATCAAACGGTTGCAAGGTACATTGGAGGAGCAAAGGGAACATTTTCAGCAGCGGCTAGCTCAGGCGACAGCAGCTCATGAGAAAGTTGTACAGGAAAAGAATGCCATGGCGGAAGAAGGCAACGCTTTTGTTGACAAAATGAGAACTGAACATCACCAGTATGTTGAGCAACAGGAGGCTAAGCTGAAGGCAGCCGTAGAGGCAAAGGATCAGGCAAGACATTCGTCTGCTGAAGAATCCCGGATCGCTATAGAACTTGACTTCAAGCGAGAACAACTGGACAGTTCGTTGGCAATTGCACAGGCAAAGATCAAAACCCTTGTTAATGAAATGGAGGCTACAAATAAGCAACATAGAGTTGATCGGGAAACACAAGAGCAAACTATAGTTGAGCTTCGCAAGGACAATGCAATGTTGAAGGGTGAAATGGATGAGCTCAGGCGTGTCGTACAGTCCTTGACAGACAGGGAAGAGGAACGCAAGGAAGCGGAGCGCAAAGCGCAATCCTCTAGCCCCGTTAAGCCAGGGCCGCAATACCCTGAGCCATTCACACCTCCTGCTCGACAAGATGCTCACCCAATTAGTCAACCGCAATCTTTTGAACCTCTACGCACGGAAGGCACTGTTCCAGCAACCTTAGACGGTAAGCCCCTTGATAAAGGTGGATCTCCTATAAAGACAGCTATGGATGCAACAGCGTCCGTGCGCAACACAGGATTCCCATCAATGTTCTCAGGGACAGGGGCGCCCGCAGCGGAACAGGCAACGGCCTCTACAGACAGGCAACAATTCAAACAACCGGATCCGTGGACGGAGTACATGAAGAAGTCAGCACAATATAACTTCAGTGATGATCCTTTGTACAAAAGCTCCTTTAATCAGGAAGCAACAAAGACTAAGGATGATCGCAAGGACGAAGGGCCGGCTTCTCAGGTAAGAACTCCACAAGACCAAGATTTGGGGGAAATCATCAAGAAGGCCTTGCTAGAAGGGTTTAAGGGCGCTAAAAGCAAAGACTCCGACAAGCCCAAGGCAAAGGAGGCTGACAAGATAGATCTCCCTGAATTCCCAAGTCCTGACAGGTACCGCACTTGGAGGGCCGCGGTTCGCGAAGCGATACGGTCCGCGTCCGATGACCCAGACGCTGCGTTCGCATGGGTGCTTGAGGTGTACGCCGTTCGTGAAGACAAAGCCAAGCTTTGTTCCGAATTGGCTGACCCAGGCAAGTTTCGGACCTTAGACACGAAACTACTTGCTGCTTTAACTAAGGTTGCCAAAGGTGAACTGTCTCAGCAGATCCTTAATTATAAGGAATCTGAGGCACAGCAAGGTAGGATCGTCCGTGGTCGTCAGGTGTTGCTCATGTTTGAAGTCCACTTCAAGACCAGTGAAGAAGCGGGTGCACTGTATGGCACTGAGGACCTCCTCAAGATCTCGCTTGATAGCGACGACTTGAAATCCTTTCTAAGAAAATGGGAGAGTGTTCTGACCGGAATGAGTCATGTCCCAGACCCGGCAACTCTCAAGGATCTGTTTTATAGAGAGGTTAGGAAGTCCCGCAAGCTCAGATTTGACCTTGATGTTTATGAACGAGCGCCGGAGGGAAGTAACGACAGAAGCTATGAATTTCTTATCAATTCTGTTCGACGTTACCTTGACAGGGAAAGGCTCAGGACCAATCGCGAAAAGATATCACAATCACACGCGGCAAAGTTCGCAAACCCGGCACCGCACGACAAGCGCACGCGAAGCCCAAGTTATGGCAAACGAAGCACAAAGGGTGACGGAAGCAATCAATGCTATGAGTATGCCAAAACTGGTAAGTGTAAGTACGGGAGCAAATGCAAGTACTCACACGACTCTAGCGCCCGTCCCCGCTCCCTTAGTCGGGAGTCGTCTCGTTCGCGTAGCGCAAGTCCGAGCAGCCGTTCATCGTTCAGGTCAAGCCGATCTCGAAGTTCGTCAAGACACACTTCCCGCTCCAGTTCAAGGAACTCATCAAGAAGCTCAAGTAGAGGGAGGAAATCTGACAAGCCATGCAGGTTCTTTGCAAAGGGTAACTGCAAAAGGGGTGACAAATGCCCGTTTAAACACAGAGACACTGCAACACCAGCCCCGCGCAGAAGGAGTCCCTCGCCCGCAGCTAAAAGGTCTAAGGACAAGAAATCCAAGAAGGACAAAAGGGACAAAAAGAGCAAACGGGAAAAGAAGGACAAAAGTCCAAAGGCCAGTCCATGTATTCAAACAGGTTTCGCAATGTCTTGCTTAGCAGTAACCGCAACTCGGACCCAAAAGAGTAAAGACTACTGGGAATTCTCCAAAGATGGCAATGAGTTGATTAGGCACCATTTGAAGCCTAGGCACAGGTCGTTTCTCCCAACACGTAAATCCTGTCCAGTTGAGTCATCTAGGTTGGAAGACCAGTTTACCATGGTAGTCACTGACTCAAAGGGAAAGAGTAGGACAATCAAGGGTAATTGGAAGAAACACCCAAACGCGAAACAGAAATTTGATTGGACTGGAAAGTCAATTTTCCGTGTTGTGCAAGAGAAGAGAATTCGTTTTGAATTAGAACCGGAGGTACACACCTTTCCTGTTTGGAAGGAAATGTACCGGCATGTAGTGAATAAGAGCAAGAAGCGGAACCTGTTCCGGACCACTGAGGAATGCCCAAAGTCCCGCGAGTGTGACACTAAGGACGCCATTTTGGCAGCGGAGTCACTTAGGCAGATGCTCGTTTCGATGGATACTGAGGAGCCTGCGTGTGATTTCCTTTGTGAACATTCCCCAGAAGGCCCCGATGATTTGTGCTGCACGAAGTGCAGAACAGTCGTCGGAGAACAGGTGCCGTCATGTGCTCGCTTAACAGCGATGCCAAATATGGTTGGTATGGAGAAGTGGCTGGGTGACACTGGCACTGACCAGGACATCGTAGGTAAGGACTCTAAGACAGTCAACAGGGCCACCAAGATATTCAAATCCAACGAACCAATCTCCCTTACTACTGCCAATGGACCTATCACTGCTGACGAAGTAGTAGAGGTGATCTTGCCAGGGTTATGTGAATCCTTCAACCCCTACATTCTCCAAAGTACTCCCTCTGCACTTTCAATTGGCTTGAGGTGCTTAGAACAGGGATATGATTTTGTTTGGGGAAAGGACACTACTCCCATATTTCTTCGACCTGATGGACAATGCGTTAAATTCAAATTGCAAGGTAGGGTTCCATATATTGATGAAACATGTACCCCATTCTCAATTCCTGAATCACTGAGGACTCGCCTTACTAAGGTACTCGATTCCATTCACCAGTTCACCATCGACCAGGGCTACGCCATGGCCAGCCATGAGTCCGAACCCGAGGAAGACCAAGAGGAGGCTGACGAAGCTGGCGTAGATGCCAATGCCGATGATGGACAGGAGGACGAAGAGGACAGTGACCCAGAAGTTGAGGTTCCTTTTGATTTTGAAGACGTTCCCGTAGCAGGGGAGAAGACCGAAGAGCAACTTCGAAAGGAAGCAAAATCAGGGGCGCATCAATTCACACATCGACCAAAGAATCCCTACTGCGATGTTTGTAGCGAAGCTAAAATGCTTGCTCCCTACGGTAGAAGCGTAGGCGGATCACAACATGTTTTGGCGCGTGGGTTTGGCGACCACATAGTGTGCGACCATGTTATTCCCAAAGATATTGAAGAAGGCATAGAAGGCCAAACGTCAATGTTGGTGATCAAAGATATTTATACTCAATACAGATGTGTTTACCCTTCTGAAAACAAGACTGCCGATTCTATTGTTAAGGCTTTCAAACATTTTCTGAAGACTTCTGATATTGTTGGTATAGTGTACACCGACAATGCTCCAGAAATGCTGGATGCCATAGAAGAACTTGGTTTCAAACACCAGACTTCTGTTGAATATCAACATTCCACCAAAGCGGTTGTTGAGCGTGAAGTCCGCACCATTCTGGAAGGGGCGCGCTCCAACCTCCTCCAGGCCAACATGCCTCTTTCTTTGTGGCCTTATGCCTCCAAACATCATGCGATGGCCATAAACATTGTAAAACAATTGAATGGTGGTGATCCACCATGGGCACTTCGTTTTGACAACGGATTTCTTGGTAGGCAACTTCCTTTTGGATGCCTCCTTTTCTTTTGGGAAGGTAAGTACGAACCAAAGAGAGGAAAGTTTGCCCCCAATGCCAAGAGAGGTGTTTTCTTAGGATACAACA